AATTCTGACAAGAGAGTAATATATATATATATATATATATATATATATACACACACACACACACACAAAAAACCGGTCAAAAGTTTGGGATCAGAACTATTTTTAATGTTTTTACAGGAGTTTCTTATGCTCATCAAGGCTGCATTTATTTGATCAAAACTACAGGAAAAAACGTAATATTGTGAAACATTAAATATTATTATGATGTAAAATAACGTTTTTCTATTTTAATATACATTAAAATTTAATTTATTCCTGTGATGCAGAGCTGTATTTTCAGCATCATTACTCCAGTCTTCAGTGTCACATGATCCTTCAGAAATTATATATATATATACACATATACATATATATATATACACATATACATATATATATATACACATATACATATATATATATACACATATACATATATATATATACACATATACATATATATATATACACATATACATATATATATATACACATATACATATATATATATACACATATACATATATACACACACACATATACATATATATATATACACACACACACACACACACACATTTTTTTCTTCTAAGACAGGTTATAACTTATTTCAGTTAGATAACAACAATTTATTATAAGTTGAATTGGAAAAATAAGACTGATTACCCCTTGGCTAATTGGTAGTTGCTAAGACTATATAGAAAGGGTTCATTTAAGCAGCTGGCCCCAGATTAGTGTGTTGCTCAGAGTATGATTGAGCCGCCATGCGCCCCCTCGTGGACGATTTTTTTTGTATCATCTGAAACATTTAAAACCTAGTGATATGTGCCATCCAATAACTGCCAGTGAGTCATCCTTACAAAAAATGCTTGAGTATGTCCTGTTTAGCTAAGAATGCTGTATTCCACATAGGACAATATAACGTTAATGAAGCCAGTAAATGTATGTTTGTAATAACTGTAATAGCTATAACAGTGTGTAATAACTATCTAATTACAGTCAGGATGGCCGAGCGGTCTAAGGCGCTGCGTTCAGGTCGCAGTCTCCCCTGGAGGCGTGGGTTCGAATCCCACTTCTGACAATAACCTTTTTTCCACAGCTCCTTCACAACATCTGAAGATTATCTTTTTATTGTGTGTTCCAATAGAACTAGAAAGAACATTTTCACTCACAAAAAACAACACTGGGTTAAACATCACAATCAAACAGAGGTCAAATGTCAATCCTGACAATATAACGTTAATGAAGCCAGTGATGTGTAGATGTAGTAATGAAGCCAGTGATGTGTAGATGTAGTAATGAAGCCAGTAAATGTATGTTTGTAATAACTGTAATAGCTATAACAGTGTGTAATAACTATGTAATTACAGTCAGGATGGCCGAGCGGTCTAAGGCGCTGCGTTCAGGTCGCAGTCTCCCCTGGAGGCGTGGGTTCGAATCCCACTTCTGACAACAACCTTTTTCCACAGCTACTTCACAACATCTGTAGATTATCTTTTTATTAAGTGTTCCAACAGAACTAGAAATATGAACATTTTCACAAACAAAAAACAACGTGTTAAACAGCACAATCAAACAGAGGTCAAATGTCAATTCTTATAATTACTAAATAAACTTTTGCTATTCGAAACTTAAAGGCAAAATAGCCAACACAGCCATCAATAAACCGACTGTATATTTCATCAGTCACACATCCAGTCTTTAGTTCTAAAACTACATTTTTTCATCAAAAATATGATATAGCGTCATGTTTAAAATCTTACGATTTTAAGATCTTACTGTGACTTATGATTGAACAATACAAATTGTACTCCATAAAACAAAATGCTCCATTTCTACAAAACACACTTATAGAACATCACTACTGAAACAAAAAATTATAAACAATTAAATCCAGCCATTCCAAAGCTGGACTGTTCTTTAAGTGCAATGTCGAGCGTAACTCGCCAGCATCTCTGTTCTGAAATAAACCAATTAAAAAAATTAAGTTTACCTACATAATCAGTATACAGGAAATGAATTAAATTTTCATACTTACGAAGCATAGGTTGTCTCACATCAGCTCACCTAAGATAAAAAAAACAAAAAAAAAACATAAGCCACAAGATATTTACTTGAGATATAAAAGTAATAAAATGTAACAGAAACATGTAAAGCTTTAAATTAGTTCAAAGGTAGTCTACAATTCCTGGTTACATCAAACACTGATGAATATTATGAGACTATTTTTTAAATACCTGAATACTGTAAAGATTTTGTCTATATTAATTATTCAGGGGGTGACTAGCTAAACAGTGAAATTCAGAAATTATTCATGCATAGATTAGACCACTTAAAGGTTTTTAGAAAGAAACTGATGATTAATAGTATGAATCAAGGTCTTCATTAAACACTACCAGTCAAAAGTGGACACACTTGATTATATGTTTAGAGAAGAAATTAAGAAATTATTTCTTGAATCATTTTAATCCATGACCCAAGATATTTAATATGATCTACGACCAGTAGGTGGCACTATCACCAAACTTTAAATACTGCTCAGATGAAACTACTGTAGTATTGACACCCTACTATGCTGTTTTAATATGACAAAGCACTACAAAAATACAACCTAATTGTTTTTTAGTAGTCAACACAGTCAACTTGACTGACTCAACTGCTTAGTGAGAATCAATACACTGTGATTTGGTAACTGTTAAAATAAATAACTCTTTTGATGATTGGTCTGAAAAGCTAACTTTAACTGGTCGTGCGAGCTAACTTTTCAATTAAAAATGTTTTACAACAGCAGCTCTACAACTCAGTCTACAGTATTTGAGATTATAAAAGAAAACAGAAGTAAAATAACTGCGTTTCTAGACCAAAGAGTTCATAAGCTATAAGCAGAAGTTGACTGATATTGTGTTTGTTTTATTTTTAATTTATTTTTTCAGCACCAATATCTTGGAGAGCAGGATGGCCTGTGTCAATTTAACACCAAATAAATGTAACTTATCTGCCTTATATATTACAAAATGACAATAATATGCAGTAAAAAAAATATTTACATATTTACTTAATTGATTTAAAATAATTTATTATAAAATTAGAACTTAAGTTTTTTTTTTGCAGATATAGTTTTCTTTATTATTTGTGTTCTATGATCCTGTTAAACTATTTCAAAACATAAGAAATTGTAGAAAACACTGTAACCATCTAAAAATGATTCAGTATTTAACCCCTAATTAAGAATTGAGTAGGTGTGTCCAAACATTTGACTGGCAGGCTATGTACTGTAGACCATAAAGACAGAAAAGAAAGTTAAATTAATACAATAGATCATAGTAGGTTTATCACTATTCTCACTCACATTGTTTGATACCTGATGTACTAAGCGCTGCCCTCTCTACAGGTCCGAGATCTTCACTGATGTTCATAGGGTATGTGTTTTGCTCCCCAACAGAATCTTGAGATGACTTTTGATCCTTTGAAAAGAGTGGCTGAGAACATTCGGCTTTGCTTGTGTGCTCCGTTGTCGTGGATAAAACATCCACGCTGCTGGAGATGTCTGGTTTAGATTCCCTGTTTGGTCCTTGCTCTTGCTGAAACCTGATTCCAAGCACATTATCGATATACATGGCGTGGTCAGCATCTACTAACTCTTTTGCGAGATTTCGTTTTCCAGTGACAATGTCGACCTCCCATTGTGTCTCAGAAACATGCTGTCTGAAACGTATCTGAAGGGTGCTATGACACATGCAGTTCTGGAAGAAAACGATGGCATCATCAGACCAGTCCTGGCCTTTGGGCTTAACTCCCCTCAGTAAACAATGGTAGGTGACTTTAGGTAATCTACTGAGCTCCTCTGGAAGTTTTTTTAGCTGGCCGACATCCTGTCGAGACAGAACGACATACTGGCCATAGTCAACCAAGTTCATGAGCACCGATGTGGAATCGCACTGCACGATCTCTGCCCTGCACCATTTTTTCTTCTCTGCCGATTTCACCAAACAGCTCGCACCAGGAACAAAATGAACATCTGGTAATGGCGCCAACACTTCGGGAAGGTTCTCAAGAATGGCAGAGACTGTATCTACAATCAAAAGCAGGTCTTCAATGATGGCGTAAAATTCGGATGGGGTTGTGACGGCTGCCGCAA